TATTATTGGTAGTTTAGATTAGTAACTGAGATTGTTAATGGCTGCACCCTCAAAGGGGGTTGAAGTAGCGTAAAATTATTGTCCTCCTGAGAGGGTACGTAAGTCCCAAAACTTTCAAAGGAAATTTAAATTCACCAGCTGATTTAAATGTAGCATTTCTGTCATTTTAATTTTGGCTAAATTTGACTTGAATCGCCAGCGGCTGAAGGGATGATATATATCCAGCTAGGGCCCATGCAGGTAGCAAAAGTACTGTAAGTCCCGATGGACCCTAGTATGGTGATCTACCTTCAGTTGTTGGTGATCTATAGCCTATTTTCATATTGTGTTGTCCCCTATAGTTGAAATGTTTTAGATTCACTTACTAGTTTTACATGTATATCTGTGATACCCTAGTTGCTTTACTGTCCTTTGTCGGCAGGTTTTCATCTATCTATATATATTCTGTTTTAATGTCAAGTGTTCTCGTCACGATTTGGCTGAAATATTGCCGATGTGACATTAAATAACAACTCACTCACTCACTCACTCGACAAATCTGTAACACCACTTCTTCTTTCATACTCTGATTACAAAGCTGGCATTAGAACTTACATCCGTGGTCTGATGCAAAAGACGTGGGACACCCAAGTAGGTATTAACACATTACATGAAATAAAACCCTATATTGGTTACACCTACTTGGGTTGTCAGTCCAGGTTTGAAGAGGTCATCATGCGACGATGTCATACAAGGTATACTCACAAATACTTGTTAAAAGGTGAAGATCCTCCGTTTTGTATCCCTTGTGATGAGAGAGTCACAGTCTAGCATCTCCTGCTTGACTGTGTTGAATTGTCCATCATCAGGGATAGATATTTCAATGTGAAAACAGTTAAGGATCGTTTTAACACTGTTAATTTTCATTTAATTATTGGCTTTTTGAAAGAAATTGAATTTATAGATGAATTTTGGATAATATGTTCTGTAGATATATGTATTTTAATGATTGGGAGTTTAGATTAGTAAATTGTATTGTTAGTGGCTGTACCCTCAAAGGAGGTTAAAGTACTGTAAAATTATTGTCCCCCTGAGAGGGTACGTAAGTCCCAAAACATTTGAAATAACTTTAAGTCTACCAGGTTATTAATCGTGGTATTTTTGTCATTTTAATGTATGGATAAATCTCATGGTGTAAATGCAGCTAGGGTCCATGCAGGTAGCAAAGGTACTGTAAGTCCCCATGGTCCCTATTATGGTGATCTACCATCAGTTGTTGGCGATCTATAGCCTGTTTTTATCTAGTATTGTCCTAAGAGTGCTATGAGTTTTAAACTTCCACACTTGTTTTAAATCTAATTGTGATATTCTAGTTGTTTTACTGTCCTTCGATGACAGGTTCTATAATGTACACATATTCAATGTAAAATGTTCTCGTCACGATATGGCTGAAATATTGCCGATGTGACATTAAATATTAACTCACTCACTCACTAAGTTCAGTTGTACAGCCTGCTTCCCCAGTAATTCAATTTACATCTGGATCATAGACTGAGAGTGAGTGAGTGAGTTAAGATTTAACGTCACATCGGCAATATTGCAGCCATATCGTGACGAAAACAAGCCATACAATGAAAAGTAGAAACATTTTAAAGATTAAAACCTGTCGACGATGGACAGTAAAAAAACTAGAGAATCACAGTTATAAATATAAAACTAGCGCAAAGTTAAAATATTCCAATTAAAGAAGACAATACAATATAAAATACGGGCTATAGAGCGCCAACAACTGAAGGTAGATCACCATACTAGGAACCATGGGGACTTACATTACTGTTGCTACCTGCATGGACCCTAGCTGGATTTACACCATCCCTTCAGCCATTGGCGTTGATGCTGAGATTTAGCCATACATTAAAAACACAAATATACTACGATTAAAAACCTGGTACACTTAAACTGACTTGAAATGTTTTGGGACTTACGTACCCTCTCAGGAGGACAATAATTTTACGCTACTTCAACCCCCTTTGAGGGTACAGCCACTAACAATCTCAGTTACTAATTTAATTACCAATAATAAAATATTTATCTATTTACAAATCACTTAACAAATCTAATTCTTTTAAAAATGCAATAATTAAATGAGTACTAACATTATAAAAAAGATCCTTCAATGTTGTGACATTAAAATACTTATCCCTTGTGATGGAATATTCAACACAGTCAAGCAGGACATGCTTGACTGTGATTCTTTCATCACAAGGGATGCAAAACGGAGGATCTTCGCCTTTCAGTAAATATTCATGAGTATATCTTGTGTGGCCAATGCGACATCGTCGCATAATGACCTCTTCAAATCTGGACTGACAACCCAAGTAGGTATAACCGATATAGGGTTTTATTTCATGTAATTTATTAATACCTACTTGGTTGTCCCACTTCTTTTGCATCAGATCACGGATGTAAGTTCTAATGCCAGCTTTATAATCAGAATATGGAATAAGAAGTGGTGTCACAGATTTGTTGAGTGCTGCCTTGGCAGCAAGATCAGCCATTGTGTTCCCAGAAATGCCAACGTGGCTGGGTAACCAACCAAAGACGATGTCGCATTGGCCAGTAGCAAGATCATTATATAATTCGATTATTTCAATTAAAAGTGGATGTTTGCAAGAGATATTTTTAATAGCCTGAAGGCAAGAAAGAGAGTCAGAAAATATTATATATTGTTTATGTTTGGGATGTCTTTGAATATATTTAAGAGCTGTTAAGATGGCGTTTGCTTCTGCTGTAAATATAGAGCTGTTATCCGGTATTCTAGAAGATATTGTTCTGGATCCAATAACAGTGGCAGATGCCACTGCGCCACCATCCTTGGACCCATCTGTAAACAAGGATTTGTATGTATTATATTTATTTCTTAATTGACTAAATTCTTGTTTATACTGTAATTCATTTGTTTCTGATTTTTTAAATGTAGTTAATGTAAGGTCAACTTCAGGCCTAACCAATTGCCAAGGCGGAGAAGAAAGAAAACGGGAAGGAGCTATATGTTCTAGCTCAATGCCAGCAGCAGAAAGGAAAGGTTTCACTCTTATACCAAGAGGCGGAACAAGAGAAGGCTTCTTGTTATACAGATCTTCATATAGTGGATTAAAGACACAGTTATATGCAGGGTTTGACTCATTGGAATAAAGTTTTGTAATATACTGTAAAGTTAATTTTGTACGGCGTTGTGTAAGAGAAGGCTCATCTGCTTCAACATATAGACTATCAATAGGAGAGGTTCTAAAGGACCCAAGACAAAGTCTTAGGCCTTGGTGGTGGACAGAATCAAGTAGCATAGACTGAGACACATCATGACAGCAATCGTCTGACAGCCTAACAGTCAGACGACAAAAAAGAAAGGAAAAAAATTTAAGTAGAATACTAACCCCTACTATCACTTCAAAGGTTTCTCTAGAAAACTATTTTTGGCCTCTGGACATGGAGGTTACACTTTCCTCAGAGGACAGCAGGAGAAACTTCACCTATTGAGTCACCATGACTCAATTGTCCAATCTATTGCAATGGAATTGTAGAGGACTGAAAAATAATTTCAGTGAGGTACAATTGCTGTTACAGGACTTTCAGCCATCAGCCTTGTGTCTCCAAGAGACATATCTAAACACGCTATAGTAGTAGCAATACCTAAACCTGGATGTGATCATACAGATCCGTCAAATTATAGACCTATTTCACTAACTAGCTGTGTTTGTAAAACCATGGAACGCATGGTAAATAATCGACTTGTTTGGTACTTGGAAACAAATAACCTTATAACAGATATACAATGTGGTTTCCGTAAAAACAGACTGAGTGACTGACTTACTGAGTTTGGTTTTATGCCGCTTTTAGCAATATTCCAGCAACATCACGGCGGGGACACCAGAAATGGGCTTCATACATAGTACCTATGTGGTAATCGTAAAAACAGAGGTACTGTCGATCACTTGGCTTCGAATTACATGGCTTCAGATTGAGAGGCCGTTTGCCTCAATTTATAGCCAACTTCTTAAATGACAGACAATTTCAAGTCTGGGTGGGCTCTACCCTGTCTGATCATTACAATAAAGATCAGGGTGTCCCACAAGGCAGTGTTTTGTCTGTCACTTTATCTAGCATCAAGATTATTCTTGAACAGGGCTTCCTTGAATCTGGCGTGCTTGATGTGTTTTTTCACCACTTGTTCTTTCACGCCTTTCGCATTTCAGATTTCAGCGGCGGCGGCTTACTTAATGGAATACATCTTGGGTCTCAAGCCGACGTACTCGGCGATCAGCGTGCACGCGCATTCGTCCTTCATCTTGCCGAGCACTTTTTTGTTGACTTGGCTGTGCATAGGGTGATCTTTAGGGTAGTCGCTGGTGTCGTACAGGTGCATGTGTTTCTTCATGTCCTCTTACACATCCTCGGTGTGAATTTCCGTCAGCAGGGATTCCGTGTCCGTGTACAGCACTTCGCACTGTTTCTTCAGCTCGTTGTAGTAGAAATCGTACATCAAGTGTTTGTATAAGTCGAGGATGCTCATCCCTACTTAAACGGGCCAGTTGAATTTGATGTGGCGTTTGTTCATGTGCAGGGGACACAACGTTGGCCGACTGGATCCGAATTCTGTTCGGGAACAAGGAATAACCATTGCCAGCGTTCTCACGGCTTTGGGCTTCATCATATCGACCCTGGTCGTATCGCTGACGGGCGGTGGTGGTACACCACCAACACCAACAAGCCCATCATCATCAGGCATCATTTAGCCCTGGCTAAACTGGCCGCCAAAGCTGCCGAAGCACTGCCTGGCATCTTGGGCAGCATCGTTTCCTGGTTGTTAGGCTTCTTGTCGAAAACCATCATGTGGCTCCGTCAAAACCTGTGGGCTTTCGTCGCCGTGGCGAGTCTGGTGTACGTCACAGCTAAGGATTTTTTAACCAAATGAGTCCAACCGCGATCCCGCCGACCACCAGCGCCGTTGATTGTTGCCTGCCTTATGGGGGCAGCTGCTGCTGTTGTTGGTGTGGTGATGCTACTTCTTCCGGTGTCAGTGCCACAATGCCCGTTTCGTACTGTGACACGACTCGACTCACGTTATTGACATCCTGGTTCAAACCAAACTTTTGATCAGCGCAATTAGAAAATAAAGCGATCTCCGACCTCGGGGACAAGCGTGGAGTTGACTGTACGCCTTGCAACTGAAAAACAGCATTTACAAATGCATCGAACTGCCGCCCTCTACTGCCGCTGGTGGTGGTGGCAACGACCTAGGCAATTACGTTGATACCGAAGGAGCGGTCAAGAATATGCGATACAACCTGATCCGCAACGACGAGGACGAATGGACAATAACACCAGCCTTCCACGGCAGGCTGTTCCACCTGGACAACGTCGAGATCACGGCCGTCTCCAGAAACATGCAGTACACTCTCATATTCAACGACGACAACAAATGGGTATTAGTGCAATCACAAATCGACTGGAATCTCAACATCACCCTCGACTCTCCCCACGTTTTCACGGACAACAAAGATCACTACCTGACGAAAGTCATGAACAATGGAACGCTGCTCGTGGCTTACGTCCCTACACAAAGACGCAGCATGATCGTCAGCACGTTGAGGCAATGAGTAGCCCACATGCTGTCGAGCAAACCCGGGACGCAAAACGTCGGATTGCAGATGGTGTCGGAATTCGACAGAGTGGTAAACGTCCTGGAAAATCTGCTGGCGAATCCACGCTGTACATCCAAGTCTACCTCGGCGAACCGCCGTCTCCGCGTAACGTCGTCAAAATCGTGAAAGGGATCAAACTCCGCTGGGCAAAACAACAACAATACCAAGTTTGCTCTGTTTACGTGTGGGTGAACGTTAACGCCTACACCAGTCTGCAGGGAGTCACTGTGACCGTGAAAAACTCGATATCGCTCACCGAAATTTTTCTACTCAACAACATACATCTCATGGATTTGAAGTGCACGTCCTAGGAATTATCCGATATCCATTTGAAAACCATTTCGTAATACATTTTATATAAACGAGATGAACCATCATCATCCCAACGTAACGCTAGCCCATCTCGGAGACATGAGGTGATTCGATCTGCCCGGCAAGGAAAACACCTTGTATGCCATGCGCTTACAAGACAATGTGTACAAACGACGAGAAGTCATCATCGAATCTCAGTTAAAATGGATTATTAACCTGGTCCTGACTACCCCTATCTTATCATGGATAATAATGATGGTGGCGTCTCGCTAAAAAAATAATGGGATACTGCTTGGGTGGTTTAATCCTGGATCATTACCAGATCAAACGGCTAACATGTTAGTCCCCAATGAGAAAAAAATAACGTTATTTATACTAAAATATACTCGTGGATCAGTGTGATACAAGGTTCTACTCTTATTATCGAAGTATTTCTTGGAGATGCCCCACAGAGTAGATATAAACCTTCTGCATGAGTTAGAAATACGCTGGCATGATCGCCATCAACAAAAACGTTGTCGCATTTGTATACAACAAGGAAAAAAACCCACTGCAAACGTAGACATTATGATATTTCAAAAGGGGTTTTTTGGACTTGAGACCATTTATATATACGAAAACTTGTACCTCATCAGCTTAAAGTATATTCATCAAACATTGACTGATGAACCAATTAAATACCATTTTATAAAAAAAGAGTATATATACAGAATGGAACTGTACCAGGTCCTAGATGAAGTAGCAAAAACACTGGAAACCGTAGACGGGTTTCTTTTGCGACAGATATGCGAGATCAAACAACGAGAACGTGAACGCGATACCTGCCGAGACCTGCGTTTCATTCAGCTAAAAACACCTCTCGCCTAGATAATATATAACAAGTACGACAATACGTTGGATTGTTAGCCTTGCGACCCCATGCTCACTAAAAAAGTGATTATTTCCTAAACTATTTGACCGATTTTCGTGACATTTTGCAGGCATCTCGGCAGATGGTTATGCTATAGCAAAACGGCATTGGGATTACTCTCGATGACTTCATTAGATTAATTAAGATTTAATCACGACAAAAAGCTGGACATTTGCCTTTTCCCGACCGACCCCAAGCTCACTTAAAAGTCAATATTTCAGAAACTTTTTGACCGATTTTCATCAAATTGTGGATGCACCTCAGTAGTAGTATACACAATGGGGCTACGGGAATAGGGACTCCTCAAGGGCTAATTTTTTAAATTGTACCCTTGGGGGTTCCTGGTCCCGTAGCCCCATTGTGTATAATACTCTGTCTGATCATTATAATCAGGATCAGGGTGTTCCACAAGGCAGTATTTTGTCTGTAACACTATTTAGTATTAAGTCTTTCTAAGGTTTTAATTGATTCAGTTGATGGATCATTTTTCGTGGATGATATCGATCCTATATCGATCTTAATTCCGTTCCTAACTTGATTTTGGTTCCATCGTATATGGTGGAGCCTGTAAAAGCAACCTTAAACTATTAGATTCTATCCACCACAAAGTTCTAAGACTTTGTCTTATGTCCTTTAGAACCTCTCCTGTTGACAATCTCTACGTCGAGGCAAATAAATCATCTCTTACCCAACACCGTAAAAAAAAATTATTTACTATACATCACAAAACTATTTTCTAACGAGTTTAACCCTGCATATAACGGTGTCTTTTATCCCCTCTATGAGGATGTGTACAACAAGAAATCTTCTCTTGTTCCGCCTCTAGGGCTCAGAAATAAACCATTCCTATCTGCCGCCGGCATTGAGCTGGAAAATATATTTCTTTCCCGTCTTCTTTCTTCTCCTCCTTGGCAATTAGTGAGGCCACAAGTTGACCTAATAGGCTAACACTGACAAAGTTTTAAAAAATCAGACACTAATGAATTACACTTTAAACAAGAATATAATCAATTAAAAAATGAACATAATACATACAAATTATTATTCACAGATGTGTCCAAGGATGGTGGCGCAGTAGCTTATGCCAACGTCAATGGATCCAGAATAATTTCTTCTAGATTACCAGGCGATAGTTCTATTTTCACAGCAGAAGCAAATACCATATTAACAGCGCTTAAATATATTAAAAACATCCTAAATATAAACAATATGTCATTTTTTTTAGATTCTCTTTCGTGCCGTCAGGCTATTGCCAGGCAATTTGTGTCATGTACAGCCTGGCATTAACCATACCTATAACTTGCCATCTGTTGGCTGACGTTATGCTCCACACTTGTTACCTGCAGCACGTGCATCATGATTTGTTGCGTTTGAGACACGAAATAGGTTATTGTTTTCATTTAGTTTCATCATGTTGTTATATGGCTAAAGATAGTGAAAGAAAAAAGGTATGGTGGTGGGATACTTTTTTCCACGTGTGTATATAAGAAGGGTCTGATTGATCACATCACTCTTATTTTCCGGCAAGATAACTTCTAAAAATTCTTCAGCAAGTACATGTCATCATTTAGAATTGATCTCTCTGTTACGTCCTCCATTTTCAGGCAACCATGGGTCCTCCTTTAGTTAAACGTTTGTTCCCTCCGAGTGACCAACGAGACCGTTGCACACGGGTCTCACACGAGTGACCAACGCGATGTAAACGAGTTGCGTTACGGGTTACCCACGCGTGTAAGGGGAAAGGTTTAGGCAGCAGTGTACTATTCTTATATTGTACAGTTATGGCTATCCTGCATGTATTTACTATCATAATAGATGAACTTCAAATAGTCATACTGTCCAACAAGATGTAATAAATGACTGCAATAGCATGACCTATCTGTACCCAAGAAAAAGAAATAGTGATAAAAAAGGTTTGTAATTCAGAAAGGTATGAACGTTTAGTGTGTATAGGTTTCAATTGCAACACTTGAAGATGTGCCTGAAAACAATATCTAAAGGTCAGTCCCTAAGCAGTGGACACTGTATTTTCGACAAATAGACAGACTGATAATGACATCTGAGGTAAACTGCGTTGGGAACATTTGGTTGAAGGTTCAAATTATGCATATGAAAGGCATGTCAAGTTTGTTAACTGTTTCGTCTAGGCAGGTGCGTGTTACATATACTCCTTAATGCTTTTCTAACTATTACATTTCGTATATATACGTGCAGCGAACAAAGTATTACTAACAATTCTGGGGACAACACACATTGGAAAGAGAATATTTCAATGTTAACATTATTGATTTTGGTGCATGTATTTAAGCAGACGCCTGCCCGTTAGAAATATCTGCGACTGGGGAACCGGTGACTGTGGATGTAGTGTGTTTCCTTCTGTTAGAACGTGTGTGCTAGAAACTGAGTACTTCAACGAGAACATGAAGCAGTTGAAGTACTTCCAAAGCATAGGTCTTGCATTTACCCTTCATTTGATGGTTGTAGTGTTGACGGTGCAACAAGACCAGCAGCTCACTTTTCATACCATTGGCATCAGCTTGTGTCAAACTAAATGTATGGAGTATGGTTTCTGCAAATCTATTGCGTTTGCAGGAAATAATCTAACCTGTAAATTATAAAATCAAGTTCGTAAGTCAGGAAAGAAGAATGGATTCACCATTATTCGTCTGGATTTTCAGGTAAGTTGAAAAAGGGTTATTAAAGTAGTTGAATTTAAATAAAGCAAATCTGTTTCACATAATGTTTGTTGTTCCTGTCTATATAGTGATTCTACAGCTAAATACCGTTTTCGGTGAACAACCTCATAAGGAACTGATAGCAAACATTCCAAAGTATTTAACAAGAAAAGCCATCTAAAAAGGCAACGTTGGAGGCACATGAGGAAATTAAGAGTGAGACGGATGTGAGATGATTTATGGGGTGAAACGGATTTCAAGAGCGAGAGAGAGAGAGATAGAGAGAGAGATTCACCCGTTTCCATAAAGGTTTCAACGGTCATGTAATAATTATTGCGCACGAAAAAACTTATATGAATGACTTGTTGGTACTTACACCTACAGGTGCGCCCTATTTTCGTTATCAAAATATCCAGAAGTTTATATTTGCAAGCCATCAAGCTTCTCACTCGATCACTCGCATGTCAGCGGCTTCATTTTAAATCACGTGACCTGTGACGTGTCGGGGATTCCGTCCCAAAAATAGTAACACAAGTGTAGGAAAACCTAATGTGTGCTACTAAAATAGAAGGGATTTTCCAATTCGTAATTATGCACTAAAGTAGTATAAGTGTGCTCTATTACGTGTACAATTGTTTTTAATTGAAAATGTATCAGTTTATTAACGTTCTTAGATCAGTAAAAACACAGAATGTGTTTAAGTTAGATTTTTATAGAAATCTCGATTTCCGCATTATGGCGGGACAATTATTTTGGATTACCTACATAGTCACATGGCCCCTTATTTGCTACAGCTATGTTCATTGGCCATTTGGAATTGTCAAAATACAAGTGTACATATATATACTGAACCACAAAAGAAACCTTCGCTTTTCAAAATCAAATGCAAGATTTTGTTCATACAAAATGATGTTTTATGATGATTGTATCGTTTTATTAACATGTTTTTCAATCCAAATTGACAGTTATTACCAACATCGATCAGTGTGTTTTCTGATGAAAAAGCATATCGACCAAACGCACCTCAAATGGCAGACGTGGTAAAAGGTTCCGTATGGCATTCGTGAAAATGAAAATGCACGTGCAGATCGTGACAACCCTACCAATGAAAACGAGTCCCAAACTCGCCTGAAATCATTTGACACAATCACTATGGCACGACTTACGAGAGATCAGAGGAACCAAGTTTTGGGACGATTGCAAGTTGGCCAGACTGCACGGAGGGTAGTCAATCATTTTAATGTTCATGTTAGGACAATCTACCGACTGCAGGAGTTGTATCAGGTCACTAACATCATCCAAGACCGTCCACGCATTGGGCGACCTTCAGTAACATCACCATCTGCGGGATCACTTCCTCAGAGAGACGGAAACAGCAGGCCAGTGCGTCGACGTGTGCACGGGAGAAACCTCTGCTGTCACAGACTATATTGTACTCCTGTCCTCACCGCTCATCATCGCAAAAAACGACTGCAATGGGAAACTCAGCATCGAAATTGGGCGTTATGTATGAGAGTGAGGGTTGAAATAAACTCATGGGGTGGTCCAGGCATCATGGTGTGAGGTGCAATCGGTCTGAACCAGATAGTTAGCACCGTGGTGTTCCAGAATCTCGGTCCAGGATGAGGAAATGACGTGACAGCTGTTCGCTATATTGACCAAGTCATAAGACCCCACGTTGTACCACATTTTGGACATTACAGAAATCACATCTTCCAGCAAGACAATGCTCGAGCCCACACTGTCAGAGTAATATTGGACTTCCTAAGACAACATGGCATCCAAACCCTACAATAGCCTGCACTCAGTCTTGATTTGAGTCGAATGGAACACATTTTGGACGAGATTCAAAGAAGACTGAATGACCTCCTCCCAAGGCCGAAAACTGCTGCTGTTTCACAGAGTATGGACCCAGGTGCCTATGGCCTTCATCAACCGGCTAATTCATTCCATGTACAGACGATGCAACGCTTTCATCGATGCCCATAGAGGCCACACACAATACTAACTTTGAGGTATCGTAATGGTACCATTTTTGGTGATTTTGTTTTGTGTGAACTCTAAAAGTGATTCCGGAAAATGTGTTAACCATAATTGTCAAGTTTAAACTCAATCCTCCATTCCGATTGTTAATTACAGTGAATTAAAGTGTGTGCTTTAAGAAACCGCTATCGGTGCGACATTTCTTTTGTGGTTCAGTATATATAGAGGAATTTCACTTGAGACAAACCTCAGCCTGATTATAAGGTTGGAGGCATTTGCGCTTCCAAACAATAACCACTATTATGTTAGGCTTAAAAGTGAATAAGTGTGCTAACATATCTTAATTGAATTCCGAAACCTGATTCATCCAGAAACTCAGTGGCCAGTTTCTGACAATGGATTTTAGCAATTTCAACATGCTATTTTCAAACTATGTAACACAGTCGTTCTGATGAAACGGTTTTGTGCACAAGCTGTGGCCCTTGGTTTACCAGATCGATGTCTGTCATCAACGTGATTTGTCTGTCCCTATCGTGATTGTAATCTGCTAATTGTCGACTGTGAAACGATAAGAGCCCGAGCCACAATGCTCTGTCTCGTTCCAACAGAACTTTCAGGTAATCCACTATGGTGAAAGAATTAGAAGTCCATTACAAAGCACTGAAATAAGTTAAAAACCCATCTGTATGTACGTCCGCCTGCCCGTCTGTACACCATCCGTTGTTCTGTTTCCGGAGTAGACCAACCAAACCGTTGGCGCTTTCTTGTTGAAACTTCTCAAATTAGTCTGTAGATGAAGCGTGCCTCTCTCTGGATGCCTGGAGCTTTTATGTTGCTTCTAATTTTTCCTGTTTGGTTTTAATTAAAGGTTGAACTAGAGAATTTCTATCAGCTGGAACATTTATGTTTTGAACAACAAATTGTTTCTCCACTTCAGATATTCAGTAGCCATGAATCTATCATCTCCTGATGACACTTGTTAGGTTTCACAGCTACTCTAAGCAATTGTGATATTGCCATCCGAGATGTGTGGCACATCAAGTACATGTACACATGTTCCATTTCAATGTCAAATATGTTCTCGTCACGATATGGCTGAAATATTGCCGATGTGACATTAAATATTAACTCACTCACTCAGATTTCTCTAATGATCATAAATTCTGTATTTTTCATATTCTGCCTTTTTTATGCAAAATGATGACTTCTTTGGCTTTTCTTTCCAAATATATTTGGTTTCAACATACATTTTCTCAAAAGTATGAAAATGCTCAGTGGCTCAGCGAAGTGTCCATCTACCTGCAAACTGTGTTTGGAGATAGATAAGACACCTGTCTTAACCATCATCAAATCCAGGGCGGTGGGGAAGCCTTGTGTCCGTATGTGTAATATGCAAAGTACGTAATAGCTATGTGATAATGGACACAAGGGAGTGATTATGAAGGGGATAAAATAGATATACTGTATGTTGAAAAATAGTCGTTTAAACTTAAGATTCGTACGCGAATGACTTGTATGTGAACACTGGTGTTATTGCTGAACATGAAAGACTCATTGTCTAGTACTTCTTGTAACTGAATCAATGTGTGCATGCTTTTTTCAGAAAATAGCTATTCCTCAAAGTTGACTTCCAAAGAGGCTAGTCTTTCTCAGTTTGAAAATGTATGCTGAGACAATTTCACAAGTTGAACCAAATCCACACATTCGTTAACCATGGTTCCATGATAACTGCAAACAAGCTAGGAAGTCACGGAAGAAAGCTGAACACTACTTCCGTCGCCACCCAATGGTACATACTTTGAATAAATTGAAAAGTTTAAATAATAAAAGCTAGCTAAAACGAGTATTTTGTTTCTCTTATGTAGTTTTTCTGAACCTTCCGTCGTCAACTGTTTAGTACCCAACGATACAACGTATGTACGTAATACAACGATGCAGCGATGATAAACGTTAACGAAAAGGGAAATAAAGTTTGGTGAGAGTGTATCAGCCTAATGTGATTCTTGCCACAACACCAACGTTCATCATTTTTGTGATACGCGAAGATCCCGGGTAGAATTGATCAGCATTAACCCATGCTTGTCGTAAAAGGCGACTAACGGGATCGGGCGGTCAGGCTCGCTGGCTTGGTTGACCCATGTCATCGTATCCCAATAGCGAACATCGATGCTCATGCTGTTGGTCACTGGATTGTCTGGTCCAGACTCGATTATTCACACACCGCCGCCATATAGGTGGAATACTACTGAGTGCGGCGTAAAACTAAACTCGTTCACTCACTCATTATTTTCGTTTCTTGCTGTTGACAAAGGTCCGAAATGGCGACTGTTCTTCTGAAAAGGGCAATCAAGATATGAGGTGTTTGAAGACTCGATCTGGAAAGAATGTCTGGATCCAAGAGAATATCGCCAGTGAGTCTGTGAGGTGTGAGGGTATAACGCAGCTTTTGAACATATCATAACGTAACAGCTTAAAGTGGGAGGGTAGCCCGAATTGATAAAGGTTTGAGATGTTTCTCACCTCGGTAAAGCCACAAGCTCGGGCGTGGTGCTGACAAATCTAGACACATCGACATTGGTTTATATGGAGGGATTGAGATTGCAGGTACCGTTTATATTTTCTCGTAAACCAAGTCGTAAATATCAATCATATCATTTAAAAAATATCCATTGATATAATTTGACAGAATTTAGAAGCAGTGATTGGCAGAAATTGTTCCGGAACCTATTCTTATAAGATGGCCACCCAAAAACCCAAAATCTTCAGAAAATGTCAATTCCAAGCTTCAATCATGAGTGAAGTTCAGCAAATAAGTTGGAAATGAAAAAAGGGGGGTAATTTGGTGCCAACATGATTAAAAAGATTTAACTGATACTAAGGTTTTTTATTTGATACCTTTAAATCGTATTTTTCCCTGATTTTGTAAGAGTCAAAATTGTAAGTTCAAACAACGTTTTCAAAAACTTATCATTTAATACGCCTTTATCACGCAACCCGCTAAAAAACTTCACAACGAGGCTCGGTATTCAAACAGAAATGGCGCAACACTGCTGTGTGCCTAGCCGAGAGCCGCGATGCGGTCCTATACAGTCAAGACATGACCCTGCATCACGGCCGAGAACACCACCTTCATAAATCCTATTCAGGTTCTAGTGGCCGATTACCCCTCGTATTTTCTGATCATTTTTCAAAAATATTTCCCGTGGGTTTTTGACTGAAAAGTCGATATCGATGTACTCCCAGATAATTTCCCTACACATACACGTAACTGTCATGTTTTCATAACCATATATTTAGATACTAATAGGCCACAAACCCGTTGAGTTCTTGTTTCAACGATAGCGAGCTGACATGTTGACATGTTGTGCGCATGCGCCAAATTTCTATAGTCCGTATCGGAGGACGTTCTTCCTTAGCGGTACGCAATACTCACTCTCGCCTCCGTTTCGCGCGCTCGTACTTTGGGTGAATCACACTTAATGTGTATTATATTTATCTGCTTTTATGTCATAATTTACAGATTTTCCTTGCAGAGAGGACGCGCCATTCATATTACTACAAAACAATGTGTTCGAGAGATCAAGCATATTTATTCACTTACAACAAACAGCTAGCACTTAAAGGGCACACAACCAATGGTTTCATCAATGCAATGGGTGCAGATATCGCTGTCTATACAGGTCGTCCCCTTTAAAACAGGGACATTTTGATAGACATGCCCAGCAACACATGCATAGTTGACAGGTGCAGTCATCACCACAAGGTCCAGATGTGCACAGTTTTTTCTGTTCCGTAATATAATCGGGGTTAAAAGAAAAGTTCTTCAACACTAGATGTCTGACACACAGGTCACCTGCCATTGCCTCACGTGCAAGATCCCTCATAGACTGTTTAGTACCTCGAGGGTCCAGACTGCGACCATAACAATAGGTCACGGCCATACATCCGCTACCATCTCTGCCACCCCTCCCCACCTCCTGCCAGTATGTTAAAACACTGTTAGGCACACCCCAGTGAACGACTACACGTATATCTGGTATCTGCATGCTTATCCAAAAGCTACTGTAGCAACCAGACATCGAAGTGAGCTGGTCTTCTGACGGTACTGCACAAGAATAGCCTCTCTAGTGTCATCATCTAGTGATTTGTGGAACTGTTCAACCAGTGTGGTTTCCATATCTTCAGAAAGTCCCTGTTCATGAAGCTCGTCCCTGATGAATTCATACACATTTGTAACTTCCGAAGTCGACCTGTAACATGCCCAAAAGAAGCCAACTTATTATATTTGTGTTATAATATGTCATGTTTATTTCAACCCTACCGTAACATAAACACCTGTCAAGAAAGAAAAGGACTGTAACAATATCATTTCTTCACGTCATTTCTGCAATAAAGAAAAGAATGTGTAATCTACCTGCAATAAATTATGAACTTGGGTGTTGCTGTGCCCCTATCCACCAATTCGTCCACTATCCATGTCAGATCGTCCTTCATTTTCTGTTTGGATCTCCGGAAATCAAGGAATATGTTTGGCCTAAAAAATAAAGGAATTAATTATATTTTACACTTGAAGTCTAGTATGTTCATAAGAACTTATAGGTAACATTTCGTATACGTAATGTTGGTGGTGTTACATGACCTTCATTGTTAAATTCTCATCAGTCATCATAACATTGAAATTGCTCCAAAAAACTTGCCTGTCTGGTAATTTGGCAACTGTGACTGTGTCCGAGCTGGACAATGACAGAGATTTGAAGATGTCGTCTCTCACAACTGTGTCTGCTGTAGCAGTTAGACAAACCATTGGTGCCTCGATGACGCTTCGCAGTGATCTCAATTCACGATACACTGGTCGGAAGTCTTCTCCCCTGAAACATCATTTTATATGGTCATTTATTAACAGACAAATGCATTCATGATACATGTTTCATTTACTGCGGTTTCTTACATCAAATTCAATAACCTCTGCTTTGTAACCAACAGCGTTTAGAAATCTCTCTAATACGTGTCACATGTGTGACCAAGAAATGAAATGCTCAAACATACTGTTAATGTTATTGTGTTATTATTACATTTACTAAGTTGCAGTGAGTGTGCGATGCAGTGTTGAGACATTTCACACGTTTGGTGCAACGCTCCACTACCGGTATCATAAACCCAGAAACAGAACGGTCGAACAAGTGAACTCGTCATTATACCGTACAAGCGTGCATATGCTGATTTCTAATACTTACCATTCGCTTAGGCAATGGCATTCGTCTATTGCCAGTAAACACACAGATTTCCTCAAACATTCCGACATAAAGGCTCGTCTCCAAAACTTGGTAAGAGCACGCTCTGGTGACATGAACACAAGGCAGCATCTAAAACCAGTACCATAAACGAATCAATGAAATGCTAAATATACAGTTTTTATAACTGAAATATGCTACCGAAAATTGGGTTCTGCCCATCGGACCATGTAACCTCTCCGGGGAAGAAATATGTTTGAACAATAACGAATGTGTATGTGTGTTTACTTGTTCTCTTCATTATACCATGTAAAACTCTTACCTCTCAAATATATAAATACTCACAGGATCCCGTAAATGAAGAAAACATGGACAAACTTCTATGTGAATCTTTGTGTTATACACAAACTGACGCATTATGCATGTTCAGTATATATTTAGCGTGACATAAATGCAAGGAATTATTTTTATATGGAACATTCCTTATGCATTAATCATTGCTGTCGCCCAAGTTTCACTCTTCACAGCATTTTTTTTTAAACATTTACTCTGTGTTACCTATTACGTTACTATACATGGACGTTATGAAATTTGTTAAAGGTCCATGTACTGACTAGAAAAGTATAATACGTTATACTTTATGGATAACAATTTCTTTACTTGTTATGATGCGACGTTTTGGTAAACTTCTCATACCGTTGTCAAGCAAGCAAGCTGTACCGAAACGTCGCATAATAACAAACAAAAAAGTTATTATCCATATACTTTTCTATTATCCACCAACTTCTAAAATGCCAATCAAACAGATCGTGTACTGACTATTCTACTAATCAAGTCCAGGACATAACTTGGTACTCTTGCCGTCTTTCACATAAACTGCACCTTGTTTGATGTTATTTTATGAATTAGCAGAGAAGGACATCGCTACCAATAAACTTCCCCTGCTCTGGGGAGACGCTGTGGTTCAGCAATTAGAGATATTATGCAATCAGGGATCTGTTTTACTGGGTGATGTGGGAGAGGGTTGGGCAGGTTACTTCTATTGATGTGGCAATACATACTACAATAAACACCCGTCACAGATGCCCCTTTTGGCTTGTACTTAGTGTTGCGCAATATGTTTATTCAGTTACCGTGCCACGCGGCAAGAAAAGTACCAGATGCCATTGTCAACGTAGCAGTTAATTTGATTGCAAGGACAGTACATAATCCCTTTAACACAATAGATAAGTAATAAACATTCATCAGGAAATTCTAGTAATGTTACACCGCACTAATTCAGCAGGAGCAAAACAACCGTATTTTGTTTAAGCAGAATCATAATACAACACTACATATCGCCTACATATCTTTTACAATGTATGCAAATGAAATTCACTTTAACATCATCTTGACGAAATTGTTTTGGCTTTGTGCATCTCATCCATACAAAATACAAGGCTTTCTGCAATGCGGCAAAGAATTTTCACATGTCTTCTTAACATAACCTCCAAAATATCATATGATTAATTATATTATGTCTATAGTTACAGTTACTTATAGTTATAGTTGAATTCTTCACAGGAAATGTCTTATATTACCATACCAAATTTGCCTAATGTATTAACGTGTCCGCATTTCAATAAATATACCTTGTATATCTTGATCTGTGGTTTCTTTGTCTATAGCAATAGCTTTCACCCCGTGTTGTTCCAGTTGGAACACTTGGTCACTCATGAGAGCAATCAAAGGAGATATGACCAATGCCACGTGATGCACCGTCCAGTCTAGCTGTTAATTACACAAGATTATTCATTGAGAGATTTGCATCAACGATACAAGGTAAAACGATAAAATGGAATAACACATGACATACAAAATATTCCACTAACACCTAGTCTCTGATTTAAACATATTTTACATAAAACTGGTTTCCTAAATAATCTTAATAAGAATAATACCAAGGATACTTCGTTATTTGCTGATACAGTGGTAATATAGACTTGCCTGGGGTTGTGTTGTATATATTGGTTTCAGGGTCTGTATGAAAGAATTACTTACTATAGAACTCATATACTTCACAAAATATTTGCATTCGGGCCACAGTAAAATACGTATACAACACATATTTACAACAATGATAAAAATCGCATTACAAAGTAAGAACGTGTGATTGATAACGATTACTACTTGCAGCCTATCGCTACTCTAGAATATAACATAAGATACTGTGAACTTACCTCGTCTCGTAGTAATGGTGGCAACACATGGACTTTCCATATCCGGTTGGTAACAATGTAAATACATTGTTTTCATTCATCAGAGCAGTTAATACAGCGATCTGTTCTTCTTTCAAAGAAAAATTAAATTTATACAGTGACTTCAGTGTGTTGTCATAGATATTAATGACATCGTCCTCGTCCATTGTCAGAGCTTAATCTGATGCCATAATTACACCTATCTATAAGTCTTTGGGCACTCGTGTAATTAACCAATCACCTACTGGTGTGATCTCACGTGACAATAGTTTTTGCATGAATTGTTCCGACTTTGAGAGCATTCGTGTAATTAACCAATCACCTACGGGCGCGCTCTCACGTGACACATGCTTTTTGGCCCGACTTGGTCAGAATTTTTGACCGGAGCCTGAATTGATCACTCATTCACAATGGCATCCAAAAGGAAGGTAGGGACACTGACGCCAGTGAAAACACCAAGGAAATCTAAGTTATATAGAACTGGATCATCACCAACCAAGTATGCCAACTACAACAATGCATATGCATGTAGGCTTATACAGGCTTACAAATACAAACTGGCACTGAAGGTGTTAATGTCGTCATACATAGGTGCAAAGAGGGCGGTTCTGTGGATCGAAAAACAACAGATACGTGAAGAGGTGAAGTGTCTTCGTAAAGATGTGTGCATTTTAAACCAGAGCTGCACGCTGGAGAACATTCGGCATTTCACGTGGGACGTTTTGTTACGCGAACTGAAGAACAGAACTCCTTTCTTATATGCTGCTGTCATAGGAGCTGTATCAGACGCAACGACCGAGGCCACCCTGAAAAGGTATGAACTTTTTATTCTTATTTTACAATGTGTTGGAAAGTACAATGATACCTGACGCCTTCAAATAGAAGAGCGCGCATGAACATTAATATAAGTTATAGTTTGCACATGTGTAGATGAATGTGAAAAAACGCATGTATTTATCTCAGTTCCAGAAACGTAGACCTGACACCAGCCCTGGGGCTGATCCTGGCTATGATTCTTAATCGGCGCGATACACGGAAATTCAAACTGATACAAGAGGTTAATGCAGTGCAACTCTGGATGAACGGAGCTTCGAAGAAAGTTAGTAAGACATTAACGCAATGTGAACCGACGTTGATAAGTTTGTACGGTATGTGTTTATCATTCAAGAAGCTTAAACGCCATGATTGTTATATCAGCATACTGTAAGCTTCTATAAGTTGCTTGTGGGTGTTATATGACAACAACATGGACTAGGTTTTATACAGTTTTATTGATTTGTATACTATGTCAAATAAAGACAATTCATACATTTCATTCATTAATACAAATAATATCCAAATATATAAGTATAAATATATTAAAAAATAACATTTAATATACAAATATATGAAATTATGAATTGTCTTCATTTGAAACAGTATAAAAATGTATAACATTGTACAAAATATAGTCCACGTTGTTGTCCTATAACATGGGCAACAATGTCTTGTCTGTTGCATAGAGCGTCGGTGTACATTCGGTGTAGATTCTTACCAATTAGCCATTTAACTGTCGCCCTATGCAATAAACAAAAGGCTGATCCACAAATGTACCCAAGAATACACACGCAACGACAGATCACCAGGGTCTGTACCAATCTGCTGAATTCACATACGACATATGTATTTTATCATTAAAACACTGGTGAGCACAGAACAGGATTTCGATATATGTTACATCTCAGGGTGATAATGAACTGGAACCTGGATGAAGTAATTGCTTCATCAATGATTGACTGTATACCATTATGTACTTGGCAAGGACAAGGACCAGTACACGGTTTTTAGGGTTGACGGATTTAGCTGTGTTTGCAACAGTGATGCACTAAGGTTTATTATGTGTCTTGTAACATTTCAGCTGTTTGCGCATTTCAATCATCTGGGCATATGCGTGAGCCGGACGAAAGCCCTACAGTTGCTGACATCACTGAGACAAGGGAGCGACGAGAGGATACTTAAGTGGAAGTCCCAAATGGAGGTATGTCATATATTTGTGTTTGAGGGGCATTCCATAAACTGGTGAAATAGAGATGACAAATCTTATACTTGAAAACAGTATAGGAATCCGTACCGAAAGGAAGTTGACCGTCCATAAAGTTTGGTCATGTCGATGTGTAAAATATTTACACTGTTCATGCCATGGTTTGAAATATGTTTACACTGAAAATGATGTCATTAGTTATAAACACTGTGGTATACATAACAAATATGATTAATCTCTGTGATGTTGCAGGAAACCATAGAGAAGGATGTCCTCGATCAAAGTGATGAAGATGTCAGTGATGTCGATGTTGATGATGTGGAGGAGAGTCTTCATATGGAAGTTAACAGTTCAAATGACACTGTCAGCACATCATCTGATCTAGACAAGGAATTCAGCTCAGCTTCTCAACCAACTAATGGAGACTCCCGGTCATATACTGATGAGGCTGAATCGTTGATTTTGCCACTGAAGGAAGGTGGGTTTAAGTAAAATAACTTCATGTTCTAAACAATTTAAGACATGTTTGTAATATGAATATGCATTAGCGGCCGTGTCACTGACAGTGGAGCAAACATTACGTTTTATTTGTAACGTAGTAATGTGCTTTCATTGAATAATACTGTTTTCACTTTCAGACACGTGTAGAGGCTACACTTTAGTCTGGGACAACGTTGGCAAAGTCGTCAAGGCCAGACACCAGAATACGGGACGCCAAAACAAAGTGATGCTGTGGGCTTTAGCGTATGCTGCACAGAACCGAATACAGACACTTCACTTATCAAATGATTGTGATGTGTTGAAAGCGCAGGACATACAGGTGGAAGCTTTTCTACCTAGTACTGAGGAGCTGGAGGGCATACAAACTAGAATGAGCACCATTGTTGGTCGTATTCTGTGCTCCTATATGCCTTGGGTGTCCACCCACTTCAAAGCCGTGACCCACATTCCTAACAAGTTCAGCAAGGAATCGTCCAAGAAAAGCGAAATTGTAAGTTTATGGACGTCAAACCTGTATAAATTGTAGTAATCTCCCTTCTATAGGCACGCACACGCACACACACACACACACAGAGACTGAGAGAGAAATTACACATGCCTAATCTCTTTTCAGGTCAATCTTGGCGTGTTTCAAGAAAACCCATCAACCCTCAGTGGAACAATTGAAATACTGAAGCACCTTCATCAGTACGTCCTAAAAAAGGAAGGGACTTTGAAGACAATCGTATGTTATGGAGATGGACTATCTTGCGAGAGACACCACGATGCCCACAGAGCCAAACGACTTCTAGGACTATAACCCGCGCCACAGGAATTTCACAAAAGGATGATATTGATGCAGGTCGGTAGGATTGTTAAACTTCTATTCTGAAATTATGATTTTATCAAACACAACATTATGTTCGATTTTTTCAGTAACACGCCTAACCATATTATTTGTTTCAGGACATCATGGATGTTTTCTTTGATGGCTCCTCCCAGAATCAGTGGGGGGACATTGTCACATATTCGTGACATGTTTGACCATAGAAATGTCAAAACTGATGTTGGTGAGTCATTCAATGCCACTGCTGACTTCATGCATTTCGTTACAAGTGGATTTGTCCTTCTGGCTGCGATGAACATTCTCGGACAGGACCAATTAGAAAGCCGTCCTGAGAATGGACCTCAAGATATCGACGGAATGGATGACGATGCTAAGACAAAGTGGCTCGCCGGTTTATGTCTGAAAGTGGCCCGTCTAGTATGGCAGGATGTAAAACCGGATCTTGTGATATCAGCTGGAGACCATTATGACCAATACGAATTGTGCTGCTGTAGGACAGGTAAGTAACAACTTTTTGAACGAACTGAATAAGCCTATCTTTTGATTGTTATTACATATCCTCAGTAGATCACAGATCTAGAACAATGCGAGATTGAATCCCATCCTGGATTTGAACCTAAACTCACAAAAGTGGAAGGAAGCCTGACAGCTGTTTTGTCTTCTTACATATGACCATGATGACCAGTGTAAAATGACATGGCATGAATAATACACAATCTCATATAGGAAGTGATCAAATGTAACATGTTAGATCTAGGCTTACATATTTTTAGAATAGCAGACATTCTGGTACATATTTGGTGTTATACATGTCAGACTAACGTTAAGACCATAGTTTACAGTAATGATATATTGTGTTATTTCAGATGTCGGGGGGCCAATGATCGAATGCAGTGGGAAGAAGTGTCCTAACAAGTGGTACCACCTGGATTGCGTGGACATGGAAGAAGAGGACGTTCCCGAGGGAAGTTGGTACTGTTCCCCATCATGTGCCCCTGACAAAACATACAAGTACTGCATCTGCAGAAAAAACGTCCCCGGCAGTACCATGATCGGGTGCGACAACGACCTCTGTCCACGTGGAAGCTGGTTTCACTTGACATGCGTGTCACTACAGGAAGTTCCTGGTAAGATGTGTACAATATTGGTACCTACA